GATGTTCAAACAAAGTCCCAAAGTTCATGTTTAAATCTGGAAATTCTTGATCGAGGAGGAATTTTTAGCCAACTTTGAGCTGCTATATCTTGGCACTCAAAACTTCAATTCTTGTACCGTTTGTTTTGTTTTAAACTTTGATTGTAGCTCTAATTGAGTTCTAAATTTCGGAGGTTAGTTCGTATTGTATGAATTTTGCCGGATTTCCAAAGATGGTCAAAAACCAACCCCGAAACTGTCTAAATGGTCCCAAGCAGCAACTTTGAGTCAATTTTTGAATACCTTCTGTTTGGAATCATGGAAAAGTATCTTCTAGGAACTTTTATCGCTTTTGAAGAAGTTTCCAACGGTATCAAGCTTTCCAATTTTGGACCTACATAGTGCAAGATACGATTTTTCTAAAATTGACACCCAAAGCTGAAATTTGTCAATTTCTTAGAAAATGAGATTTTGGAAACTTGCCTTCTTTTCTCGATACCGATTGAACATTTTGAACTCGATTTCATGGAAAATATTAGTCTCTCTCTTTAGACTTTAAAACTTTACTCTTGAGCCTCGATTATTAATAATTAAGGCCCAATTAATGAATTCCCCTTAGATTGTATAACCTTCTTTGATAAGTAGGGGTTCTAAGTGATAGTGTATAATAGTTGATGGTTATTTGCCCAGGCGCTCAAGGGGACCTTCAAGAGGAACTCGAAGTGGACGTCTAGACATTTGTTTGAGTATTACTCTCTTGTTGCTATAGGTGAGTGTTCCATATAGGAATACGTAATTGGAATAAGTCTATGACATGCATAACCCATGATTATTAAGTGTTAAGTGCTATATGTTAAGTATTTACCACACTCATGCATATCTGAATAAGGTATACTTGAATTACTCGACATGAAATACCTGAAATATGTATATTTGAACTATTCGATATGAAATGCTTAAAGAGCATATTTATGTGATTACTTGAAATATTAGATATGAAATGCTTGGAGAGCATATCTACATGATGTGTTTAAATGATTAATTATGCTATGACAGCATAAGTCGGTTGGAGTGAATCTCCTCGACTCTTATGTGGAAAAAGTGAAAACGGCCAATGGTGGCCTATTAAAATGACATATGTCTACCAATTAACCGTAATTACCACCGTTAACCGTTTACCGTTAACCATGTTTACTTACCGTTTTCTAATCTATTCGGCTACTTGCTTACTTGATTATCTGCTTACGTAATCACCAACTTACTTGATCACTTGATTATCATGAATCGCATGTTATATGAAGTTGTCCATCATTGTTAGGCGAGTGTGTACTTTACCTCACTCGACCTACTCAAATGATGAATTTTACCTTTTGCCGAATTACTTGATTACTTGTGCATGTTGTAAGCTCTAAGCTGAATTGGGCCCTGCTCATCGTTACTAACCTACTCGAGCTAGGACTGGGCTCGGTCGGGTAGGTTGGAACCTTGGGACACCGTTTCGGTATACTCGAGTATTACCACTGGATGGATAAGGTGATGGCCAGTCAAACTGAGGGGATTCGGAAGTCATAAGGTGCAGATGACCGACAGAGTTCCACTGGAACACCGTATCCTACAGTATATGTTTACCTGGTATCATGATGATTGTTTCGTGCTAAAATGCCAACATGAAATCCTGAGCTATGCCTGTAATAAGCTCCAATCACTCGTGAACTATACATGCTAATGTCTCATACCATGATAAATGTCTCAAATTACCCGTACAATGATTATCACCTCATGATAACATGCCATTGTGTAACCTTGAACCATGCATATGATATGCCCAACTTACTTGATTTATTTGAACTGTTAGAGTGTCTTGGAATCTCACTGGGCTGTGTAGCTCATACCACGTTGTGGATTTCTTTTACAGGGTTCGAGACCAAGGGTGCTCGTGAGTAGTACTAGATTGTTTTCTTTTGAAAACTTTAAGTTATATTATAACGGATGGCTACTGTACCCTTTTCCGTTGGGTTGTATTTAAGCTTGAAAGCTACATAATTGTAAGTGTGAGATATTTGAAGTACTTTAATTATGTATTGAAGTTACTTAAAGTATTTCGAGCTTTTGAATGATGGATTGTAGTGAGTCCTGGCGAGAGCTGGGTAGGCGTTCCGCGGATACCCTTTGGTTCGCCTTAGGGAGAAGTGGGGGCGTCACAGTTGGTATCAGAGCTTAGACTTCAAATCTTTGTAGTGTATCCTAGGCTTAAATGTTTAGGATGCCGGACTGTGGGACTGGTCTGAAAGTTAAATGATTGCTTGTAGCGATGAAATTTAGAGCCAATTCACGTGGTCTCTACAAAGGAGCAAGATAGGACCAAGTGGTGTTATGGTTCTTACTATATGATTGAGTAAAGGTTTAAGTGCCCTTCTAAAAATGTAAGATGTGAATCATGAATGTTATAGGTTGTAAAACCTTTATCTTGATGATTGGAGGGAATTTGATATGTATGTTGGGTAGGAATCTCGAATGTGGTGATTTACTCTTGGGACCGGCCGGCTCGAGTTGTGAATTACCTTATTTCGGATTCTTGTACCCGAGTACTTGAGAGTTGAGGGCAACCATAAGGACTTTATATCTCCATTTTTGGGGAATAAGAATGAATCGATATTTCATGTGAATGGTTACAGGAAACCAATAATTGTTTGGTTAAGATGGTACAATAATTAAGAGTGGAAGATGGAAAATATTGTAACCCAAAAGATCCTTGTGTTGGGATTGAAATCGAGCATGTTAGGGAACGAGAATCATCTAGTTTCAATTAATCTAGTGGATCCCTACTTGTGATCTTTCATAGTGAGACGATGGGAGTAGAACCTAAGAGTTTGCGCCTTGGAGATGAATGTACTGGTGATAATCATTTGTTTATTTTTGTTATTGACTTTGACTTGGCATGAACTTTACTTGACCATAATTTGTGTTATGATTTAATGAACTCTAGTTTGTGTTTACTTGCATAGTGATAATGTTATTTGTGTAAGTGACTTCATCCTCTTTAAATGTTGCTACTGGTATATGAGTATAGTTCAATTTTAGCTAAGTGTGAGGTTTATACATATGTGTATAGACTAGCTGTGAACATGGAAACTAGAGGACAACGAAAGGGACGTCAACCTAGACAACCCCGAAATGAAAGAGTAGATAATGGATCTGATATTGACCAAAATGTCGAGCTAAGTGCTGGGAGAGGAAATGATCAAATAGGACAAGTTTTAACTCGCATGACGGATATCCTAGAGCTCTTAGTAGCTCAACAAGGTCAAGGTGTTGGACAAGGAAACCAACGTGGAAACCAAGAAATAGGGGAGGATCGAGCTTTAGAACGGTTTCAGAAATTTTCCCCGCCCAAGTTTGCTGGAGGACCTGATCCAGAGGTGGCTGAGAATTGGTTAGAGAATATAAGAAATATATTCGATGCCTTGGATTACACAGAAGAAAGACAAGTCACCTTTGCTATATTTCAACTTGAAGGAGCAGCTCGAGCCTGGTGGAATGTTATAAGAAATAAGTGGGAAAGAGATCAAACTCCAAAGACTTGGATAAACTTTGTAAGAGAGTTTAATGAGAAATTTCTTCCTCCACTTGTCCAAGAAAAGAGAGAAGATGATTTTATAAATCTTCGTCAAGGAACTTCGAGTGTGGCTGAGTACGAAACTCGATTCACAAAGTTATCTACATATGCCCCAGAATTGGTGGCTACTGAACGGAAGAAAATAAGACGGTTTATCCAAGGATTAGATTTGAAAATCCAGGATGCCCTTGCCGCAGCACAGGTTGAAACATTTAGTGACGCTCTCGAAAAAGCGCAAAGGGTAGAAAGCACAAAATCTCAACTGAGAGCTTTTCAAGCAAGGAAAAGAGATGCATCTGACAGTACACTAGGAGAAAATGGACCACCACCCAAAGTTAGAAAAGAAGTGGATGGAGTAGGACTGTTATTTCCTGCACCACTCATGATAAAGGAACCAAAAGGAACTATGTCGCGAGGGACTTCAGTAGAACAGACACGATCAAAGAAAACCTCGCAAGCCAGTCAGGTCACAACACCTCGTCCGACTTGTGGATATTGTGGAAGGACGAATCACATTGAAGAAAACTGTTGGCTAAAGGGACGAAAGTGTATGGGGTGTGGGAGTACCAACCATAAAGTTCATGACTGTCCAAGGAGGTATCCACGAGAAACTACTGCTCCACAAGGAAATGGAACTGTCCCTCGACAAGTCAATGGAAGGAGAAACCGACCAATAGCATCTGAAAGAACGCATAACATGAACACACCACATGGTTCAGAGTTGTCTGAAATTACAGAAGGTATGAATTTCGAGAACGAAATTCTTTTAAGGAGGGGAGGTTGTGAGGACTCGCAAAATTTACTTATTTAATCTCCTATTTTTAGCTTATTTAATTATTTATTTGGTCTTTTACTCCGAATATTATTTTCTAAGCTCTTGAGACCTAATTACATGAAAATATAGTTTCATTATATTTTTAAAATGACTTGTTTCAAAAATTAATTTTCGGAAGCTCGTTTAGTGAAAATAGTGAACACGTCTTTGGAAATCTTGATCGATTGAGAGTACAATAGGTTTGAAATATTGGAGACATGTACAATGGACCTAAATTAGGCATTTTAATGTTTAAATACTCAAGTGATAGTTATTAGTACTATCGTTATAAGAATTTCTCGGAAGTTTCGCGTTATCGCGCTTAAATTGGAGATACGCGTTTTTATACGCGCGATTTAAATTTAGGAACTTTAGACCCTTATTTTGGGACGATTGAGAGTGAATAATATTTATATGAATATAAGTGCATTAGAGGTTTAGTGCACCAGTGAAACAAATTCGAGAGGAATCGAATACGAAACGCGCGGGAAAAAGAGTTAACCTTTGAATCAATGAGAGCCACACATTTTAGTTTCACATGGGTGCATCACACCAGATCAAAACCCTCCACTTTATCACCTCAAACAGCCGTGCAACTCTTCTTTTCCTTCTTCATTCCAGCCGTGCAACTCCAAGGAAAAACAAGACCAAGTTCTTCATTTTTCCTTCATCAAATCTTCATCAAACCTCTTCCAATTCACTCCAAATTCGAACTACACTTAACTAAACATTTAGAGATCCCATTGAGCTAAGAAAAGGAGCTGCTATCCATGGTTTTCTTGAGCATCTAAGGGGCCGAAATTTCTGCCTTCATCCTCTAATCAAGTAGGTGTTAATCCAACACTTAAATCTTGCTTTATGAAGATCATCTTACATGTATAAGGTAGTATTTGCATTTGGGTAGCTTGTTTATGGTGTAAAATGAAATGGGTGGGCTCTATGAACTCCCACCTTTGTCTTGAGGACTGATCTCATGCTTGATGATGGATTTAATGGTGGTTTAGTGCTTAAATTAGTGGATTAATGTTGTATTGTTGGTAGAAAATCATAGGAGGTGCTTGGAGCAAAAGTGACCGTTTTACCCCTGCCTTGTCCGACCATTTTTGTGCACAATTTTGAGGTTCTAATGACTTGATTATATTGTTTACATGTTATTGTGAGTGTGTACAAAATTTCATTGAAAAATAACATGATTTGGTTGGTTAAATGAGTTGATTTCCAAAGTTAGCAAAACTGGAAAATGAATCCCGTATTGCCCAGGCAGTCATCTTGTATCGGCTATAACTCTTTACTCCGATGTCGAAATTGAGTGCCGTCGGTGGCATTTGAAAGTAGACATTCCCAGCTTTCCATTGGTACCAAATTCACATTCTAGTTCCACTTGAGTGAGCAACACCATTCGATTGAAAATCACTGTCCTGTTTCGTTTCTCTCTAGGAGACAGGACAGGACTTGTATCTTCATGCTCAAAAACGAGCTGTTTGTGAATGGAATTTGAAACTGGTTTCTTCTGAGAAAATTCAGCTTTATGAGAGAGCTTTCCAACGCCATCAAGCACGCCCAATTACAAGTTGAATTGAGTGAGTTGTGACCAAAGTTTGAAACAGCTACAGTGATAGAATTTTCCACTTGGACAGATTTGTAACTAACAATGACTTGGGACTTGTTATTTCGAAATTCCTGATGTAAATCACCTATCAAATGTATTTTGAATTCTTGCTAGACCTGATTATCATAAACGAGACATGTTTTAGGTATCTTCCCTTGGTCAAAAGTTTAGAAAAGGAAATTTTCATACACGAGGCAGCTTTGCCTTAAAAATTTGGAAACTTGAGTGATTTCGTTAAGTGACTTTCCGTGCATATTTTTCTATGAAATTTGACAGAGGAATAGCCCTTATATGGTAGTATAATCATACCAAATTTGGTGCCATTTCGAGTCTGTTTAGATGTTCAAACAAAGTCCCAAAGTTCATGTTTAAATCTGGAAATTCTTGATCGAGGAGGAATTTTTAGCCAACTTTGAGCTACTATATCTTGGCGCTCAAAACTTCAATTCTTGTACCGTTTGTTTTGTTTTAAACTTTGATTGTAGCTCTAATTGAGTTCTAAATTTTGGAGGTTAGTTCGTGTTGTATGAATTTTGCCGGATTTTCAAAGATGGTCAAAAACCAACCCCGAAACTGTCTAAATGGTCCCAAGCAGCAACTTTGAGTCAATTTTTGAATACCTTCTGTTTGGAATCATGGAAAAGTATCTTCTAGGAACTTTTATCACTTTTGAAGAAGTTTCCAACGGTATCAAGCTTTCCAATTTTGGACCTACATAGTGCAAGATACGATTTTTCTAAAATTGACACCCAAAGCTGAAATTTGTCAATTTCTTAGAAAATGAGATTTTGGAAACTTGCCTTCTTTTCTCGATACCGATTGAACATTTTGAACTCGATTTCATGGAAAATATTAGTCTCTCTCTTTGGACTTTAAAACTTTACTCTTGAGCCTCGATTATTAATAATTAAGGCCCAATTAATGAATTCCCCTTAGATTGTATAACCTTCTTTGATAAGTAGGGGTTCTAAGTGATAGTGTATAATAGTTGATGGTTATTTGCCCAGGCGCTCAAGGGGACCTTCAAGAGGAACTCGAAGTGGACGTCTAGACATTTGTTTGAGTATTACTCTCTTGTTGCTGTAGGTGAGTGTTCCATATAGGAATACGTAATTGGAATAAGTCTATGACATGCATAACCCATGATTATTAAGTGTTAAGTGCTATATGTTAAGTATTTACCACACTCATGCATATCTGAATAAGGTATACTTGAATTACTCGACATGAAATACCTGAAATATGTATATTTGAACTATTCGATATGAAATGCTTAAAGAGCATATTTATGTGATTACTTGAAATATTAGATATGAAATGCTTGGAGAGCATATCTACATGATGTGTTTAAATGATTAATTATGCTATGACAGCATAAGTCGGTTGGAGTGAATCTCCTCGACTCTTATGTGGAAAAAGTGAAAACGGCCAATGGTGGCCTATTAAAATGACATATGTCTACCAATTAACCGTAATTACCACCGTTTACCGTTTACCGTTAACCATGTTTACTTACCGTTTTCTAATCTATTCGGCTACTTGCTTACTTGATTATCTGCTTACGTAATCACCAACTTACTTGATCACTTGATTATCATGAATCGCATGTTATATGAAGTTGTCCATCATTGTTAGGCGAGTGTGTACTTTACCTCACTCGACCTACTCAAATGATGAATTTTACCTTTTGCCGAATTACTTGATTACTTGTGCATGTTGTAAGCTCTAAGCTGAATTGGGCCCTGCTCATCGTTACTAACCTACTCGAGCCAGGACTGGGCTCGGTCGGGTAGGTTGGAACCTTGGGACACCGTTTCGGTATACTCGAGTATTACCACTGGAGGGATAAGGTGATGGCCAGTCAAACTGAGGGGATCCGGAAGTCATAAGGTGCAGATGACCGATAGAGTTCCACTGGAACACCGTATCCTACAGTATATGTTTACCTGGTATCATGATGATTGTTTCGTGCTAAAATGCCAACATGAAATCCTGAGCTATGCCTGTAATAAGCTCCAATCACTCGTGAACTATACATGCTAATGTCTCATACCATGATAAATGTCTCAAATTACCCGTACAATGATTATCACCTCATGATAACATGCCATTGTGTAACCTTGAACCATGCATATGATATGCCCAACTTACTTGATTTATTTGAACTGTTAGAGTGTCTTGGAATCTCACTGGGCTGTGTAGCTCATACCACGTTGTGGATTTCTTTTACAGGGTTCGAGACCAAGGGTGCTCGTGAGTAGTACTAGATTGTTTTCTTTTGAAAACTTTAAGTTATATTATAACGGATGGCTATTGTACCTTTTCCGTTGGGTTGTATTTAAGCTTGAAAGCTACATAATTGTAAGTGTGAGATATTTGAAGTACTTTAATTATGTATTGAAGTTACTTAAAGTATTTCGAGCTTTTGAATGATGGATTGTAGTGAGTCCTGGCGAGAGCTGGGCAGGCGTTCCGCGGATACCCTTTGGTTCGCCTTAGGGAGAAGTGGGGGCGTCACAACAAGCACTAGAGCTAACTTCTAATTTTGATATAGTACCCTGTTCGTGGCTAGCAAATACAGTAAATAGCAACTTCTCAACTGATTGGGGAAAGAATTTAACCAGCAATGCTCAAACACCAATTGAGTTCATCCATTCATGGTAAAGCCCCTCTATTAATTTGTTAAGTGATTAATTGGCATAAAAGAAATTGATGATATAGTAAATTGATTAAAATTCTTTTTTACTTTGAGGTGCAATTAAATATCTAGACTTGATAAAGAAGCGTTTGAACCAAGACATTTAACAAGTGAGCTACAATTCAAACAGCAATACTTGTAATATTGTATTTAGTGGGAATGGTATACCCTATATGTGTGCAAATCTAAAAGAAAAAATATTTAAAAAATAATTAATTTTTTTAGTATTTGTTGCAAGCTTTTTTTAGAATTATGGACCGAAGAATTGTGTTTTTCTTTTTTTTTTTGGAGAAGAAATTGTTGCAAGATAGGGGTGTGTGTATGTGTTTGTAAGTGTTTATTTTAGAGAGATGACAGCACCATTTTGTCCCTATTTAGAGGACAGAATAGGAACTATAAAAAATGACACAAAAAGTCTACACCAACCCCTCCCCTCTTCTTTTATATATAGTATAAATATATATATTCAACAACTATGTCTATCACCCTGATAATCTTCGCAGCTCGTTTTAAGTTTAAACAAGTCAAAACAAGCACTTTTTTTACCTAACAATTTGTTAAGAAACGCAGCACATAAAGAAGGAGAGATGCTTTAATAGTCAGGGCACTTGACAGTTTTTTTTTTTTTTTTTTTTTTTTTGTATAAAGGAGAAGGAGTGGATAGAGAAAAAAAAATTGGGACAGCAAAGGATTTTCTGTTATAGCTTTCTTATTACACTATTAATTTGATTAACACATAATCCATGCAATACTGGATAAAAATTTAACTTTTAAAACATCTCTATTTGTGTGATACTTATCATTTTGAGCAGTTGCGTAATATGTAATAGAAAACCTCAGGCCGTGGAGGTCTAAAGATTGGTTTGCGGTTTACATTAGTGAATGCTTGAGGTGTGACATGAGAGAGTCCATGCAACAGTTAATCGTGTAGATTAGGTTATAAACATATATTACGTTGCTAAAAGACTTGCATACGAAATCTTGTTAATGCCAACGAGACTTTGGTTTAATGGTAAAGTAGTCAAGGTTTTTTTTTTTTTTGGCAAAAGGTCCCAAACTTGGGCAAGGGGGTCACCCCTAATTTATTTCATAACCATAAAATACAAAGAGCAATCGATTGAACCACTCGGCTTCTACAAACATCCCGAGTTATAACCTAAATGAAGGTTGAAGCTTAGTAAATTAAAAATCCTAAAGTGAAGTCTCACTAAAATGTGAGTTATATAATCTAACCACGTGTTAGATACTCTCCCGTTATTGAGTTGTAATCTGTCGATATTGATCCCACCATCGTTGGTTAAGTGTAATTTTTTCAAAATAACTCGTTGGGCTTCAATTTTCACCATCCAAATATTGCACGTTGCTCTTGCGATTGTTTGAAAGTAAACAACAGATTATAAACGCTTTTAAATGGAGTGGTTATAGTATTAGTGTAGCTAACTTCCATGCTAAACAATGCATATCGTGTATGTTCTATTTCTCGAAATTAGTACTGTCATTATTCTGTTTGTATATTATGTTTTCTTTACTTAGTGCTGGACTCCAATGACAATCTTTTGGACATTCAATCTCATACAGACAAATCACATCTTTAACAGTCTTGGAGATAAAATTCCTAATAAAAAAGATGCCAAGTCTTAGGTCTATCATCTATCACATTGTTCATTTGGATGGTGTATTTTTTAGGTGTTTGTCTAATATTTTACTGTAACTCATTTTAGTTATGGAAGGGTGACAGTGGTGGTGAGTTTTTTTTTTAACATATACTTCTTTTCGGTATTTTTCTAAAACTTGTGGTGCTCTAGAGGGTTATTGCAGATGGATTTTAGGAAAAAAATTCTCTCTGAAACATTCTAAAAACAAACATACAAAACGGAGAGATTTTTAGAAAAGAAAATTTGTAAAACACCCTAAAAATAGGCTACCAACTATAGATGGTGCTTTTGGAAAAAATTTCTCTATCTAAAAGCATCCTAAAATTAGGCATACCAAATGGAGCCTAGAGTTTTAAGAGATTTTTAATGGTTAATCCTAAGATGCCTGATGAGTTCTAAATGTTCTTTTGTTATAGTCCTCTATCACTATGATTTTATGCATATTTTATCTTTAAAAGTGCTACTTAAGGTATGTTTTATGGTTAGACAAATTAAATAGCACTTGCAATGAAAATGATACAAAAGGAGTTCAATTTGGATGGAAAATGATAAATTCACGAAGACAACAGCTAATGGGGGCCAAACACAATACCCAATTGAACTTGAGGCTAAATTCAATCAAATTATCAGTTAATCTATGATGGGCGCCCGTCTTACAACCCGACGTAAGACCCAACATGTTCTGGACAAATGACTCCTAATTTAAGTGGGCTATATATTTGATTCTATCCTAGAAACCCGACTAGAGAAGGCCATATAAATACGTGAAATCGTCAAGGGGAGCCAAACAGGGAGATGGCCTATGGCCCCTATTTTCTCATATTCTACATTCTTAGGAGTAGATTAGAACAAGTAGAAGTAGAGTTTGGTTATGAACAGCTCTATTTCTCTCTTAAAAGCAATAATATCTACTAGTTCTCTATTCAAGCCAAGAATTGAAGTATTTATTCCAATGATTGTGAAGGTGGGTTTGATCTTTCCAATCTTTAATTTGCTATCTGTGTTTTCTTGATTTTATTCTATGTTGATGCATGTATAGTAGAGTAAGTGGTCAAAGCAGTAAATCATAAAAAATGGGAGAATGCTCTGGCGGCGCTAGGCGTCAAGAGAACCTTGATCCTAATCTGCCTCTGCCTCAAGGGGTGGATTCCTCCACACGCAGAGATCCCAAAAAATTTAAAAGACTCGCTACTGGGGAGTTTGTCCCTAATCTGAGCCCTCAAGATAATGGAGAGGATTTTAGTCTTGCTCGAAGCCAAGGTACTCCTGCCATCGCGGGAGCATGGGGGAAACAGTCATTCATTGATACGCTGCGGTTTGGGGGGGAGAAACCGCCGATCTACGATGGGGAAGATGAGGATCTTGAGTTTTTGGCAGATATGGAGACAGAGGCTTGTGAAGGGATGGATAATGCGAACAATACTTCACGATTCCCTAAGCCTATTGTGGCTGCAGAGGAAATTCGACAAATGTGGAAGCCATGGAGTAGGGGGCTTATCCTGAAAGTTTTGGGGAAAACTGTAGGGTTTTGGACCCTAGAGCAGAAATTGAAGGAGCTGTGGCAACTAAGCCAGGATTTTGAAATCACAGATTTGGAACGGGGCTTCTACGTAGTTCGGTTTCGAGCGAAGGAAGATTACCATAAAACGTTGGATGGAGGACCGTGGATGGTTCAGGGACACTACATAACCGTTACCAAGTGGAGGCCGGACTTTCGGGCAGAGAAGGCTGATATTACATCCACCATGGTTTGGGTCAGACTACCAGGACTCCCAGTTGAATACTATATAGAAAAGTTTTTAATGGCAGTGGGAAACTGCGTCGGTAAGGCAATTAAAGTAGATCAGCGCACGTTGACTGCTGAGAGAGGGAAATTTGCTAGAATTTACGTTGAAGTTGATTTGAAGAAACCCTTAACTCCATTCATATGGGTAAATCAAGATCTCCAAAGGATTGAATATGAGGGGCTACACCAAATCTGCTTTAATTGTGGGCAATATGGCCACATAGCGGAACACTGTAAATCTAAGAACCAGGGGCTGGAACCAGGAGAGGAAGCAGTTACGAGGGGACCAGAGGATGCTAGTAAGGAGAAAGAGAATGAGGGGACAGAAAATCAACCTTTTGGACCATGGTTCAAGAAGACAGCGGTATGATAAACGAGTTCAACAAGGAAATATGTATCACGCCCATAACCAGAAGGGGGTACTAAAGAAAGGGTCGGGGAGAGTGGATATGCCAGGACCTTCAGGAGTCAAAGACATTCAGCTACAGCAGGCCTGGGTCGAAGTAACTACGCGGAAGGGGAGACATGTGCGGGAGAGTGGGGAGAAGGATAAACAATTAGATGGGCTTACGGTGGATTACGGCTCAAGATTTGCCGTGCTTGAGGACGAAAGTTTGGAGGAGACCCGGGGGGGAACTAGAGACTCCAGGGAAATATTATGGGAAAAGATTCGCAGCATTGCAGGTCCACCACAGGAAATAATTTTCAAGGTGGGACAGAAAGGCAAGCAACCAAGCACACCTGCAGACTCAACAAAGGGGAGAGAACGGAAAAAGGGGAAGGAGCAGGGGTCTCAAGGGATTAGACTCAGCAAGAAGGTTATGAGTCCAGTCAAAATTGGTGGATTACGGGGTACATCAGGGGGTGCCGTCAAACCAAGACAGCCACAGGAGAGAAGGTCACAGGATGTACAGGCGGCCTCACAGGTGGGCCAGGACGTCCATCCGCCACTGTGGGTGCATAACCCACTTGCTAATGCTGAACCACAAAATGACTACAGGAGGGGTGGTCAGTGGGAGGAGGTAGGCGTAGAGGAACTTGAACCGAGAGGGAATTGGGAGCTACAGATGATAGAGGGAAGGCCTGAAGGGGAAATCGGGACACTGGCGTTGGGACATCTTGCATAGAGCCAGAAATTCACACACAAAGGCTTAGTGAAATCCCGCAAGGGGGGAGGATAGAGGGGGAAGCCGTTGCAGCGGTAGTCAGGAAACAGTAGGTAGCCATCTCATCCTTCTATATTCCTTAAATGAAGATCCTAAGTTGGAATTGTAGGGGTGCTGCGAATAATGAGTTTAGGAAGAACTTAAGGACGATTATGCAGGTTTATGATCCGGATGCTCTTGTGTTGGTAGAAACAAGAACTCCTAGTTTTCGTGCTGATAGAATAAATAGGAGGTCGCGCCTTACGGAGCGGGCATGTGTGGAGGCTCTGGGTTTCTCAGGGGGAATTTGGCTCCTCTGGGACCCTTATGTGGTGGATGTGGAGATTATTTCTGAAAATAGGCAGATCCTAAATGCGATCGTTAAACACAATGATAAAGAGTGGTTGCTCTCAGCGGTGTACGCATCCCCAGAGAAAGCCTTGCGAAAGAGACTTTGGGAATATATTATCCAACTGGGAAGTCAAATTCGGTTCCCGTGGTTGATCACTGGGGACTTGAATGAGATTCTATCTAGTGAAGAAAAATTAGGTGGTAAGCCTTTTTCGCTATCCGGCCAATTATCCTTAGTGGATTGTGTGCAAAACTGTGGGCTGATAGACTTGGGGTTCAATGGGCCGGCGCTAACCTGGAGTAATGGAATGAAGGGCACAGCGAATGTGAGGAAGAGACTGGATAGAAATATGTGTAACTCGGAATGGAGAATAGAGTTCCCAGAGGCAAATGTCAAGCACTTGGCTCGTACCCACTCGGATCACCACCCAATGTTGTTGGATACGCAGGGGGTTGGCACTAATTCTGGGCGTCACAGACCCGTTCGTTTCGAATTAGCGTGGCTCACACACCCAAAGTTGGCAGAGGTTGTCGATCAGAGCTCGAATGTCGATCAAATGAGCATTTGGCACAAGAATCAAAAGTTGATGGTGGACTTGCAAGAGTGGAATAAGACTACATTTGGCAATATTTACCACAGGAAAAGGAGATGTATGGCCCGTCTTGAGGGAGTGCAAAAAAGACTTGCACAGCTTCCGGATAGGAAACTGGAGAAGTTGGAAAGAAAACTACTGAAGGAGTTTCACACTATCTTGGAACAGGAAGAGACCCTTTGGTATCAAAAGTCTAGGGTGAATTGGCTCCAATATGGGGACAGGAACACCAAGTTTTTTTATACTACGACAATAATACGTAGGAATCGGAATAGGATATCTAGTCTACAAGACAGCGCTGGACAATGGCATAGTGATAAGCCAAGTCTAGTTACTATAGTAAGGGATTATTTCCGGAAGTTGTATGCTGAAGAGTCCATACCAGCTCAGGGCGGTTTGTATGACCCCAATGGATTTCCATGTATTGACGGGAGGAGGTTACAAGCATTGGGTAGGATGGTAACTCTAGGGGAAGTCAAGGATGCGGTGTTCAGCATCAAAGCCTGCAAAGCCCCAGGACCTGATGGGATATGTGCAGGTTTTTATCATAGCTTTTGGCACCTAGTAGGGGCCAGTATGGTGGACTTTGTTACGAAAACCTTTCAGAATAGAAAAATGCCGACGGAGGTAAATGGCACTCTGATTTCCCTAATCCCAAAAGTAGCAAACCCAACGAGCATCACTCAGTTTAGACCTATATCTCTCTGTAATGTTTCTTACAAAGTGGTGACAAAGATCTTGGTAAAGAGGATTCGTCCTCTGATGGCGGAGTTGGTGGCCCCAAATCAAAGTAGCTTTATCCCTGGAAGACAAATTAGTGATAATATAATTATTGCACAGGAGATTATCCATAATATGAGACGGAAGCAAGGGAGGAAAGGTTATATGGCAGTAAAAGTTGATTTAGAGAAAGCCTATGATCGTCTGAGTTGGCAGTTTTTGAAAGGAACCTTGGAGATGGTGAACTTCCCTCCGAGCCTTGTTTCTCTAATCATGAGCTGTGTGCAAGCATCAAGCATGGAAGTTTTATGGAATGGAGAACGCCTTGCACCTTTCACACCAGCAAGAGGGCTCCGCCAAGGGGACCCCCTCTCACCATATCTGTTTGTCCTCTGCATGGAAAGGTTGGGGCACCTGATCAGCAGGGAGGTTACGAAGGGGGCTTGGAAACCGATCAAGACGTCCAGAGGAGGTCCAGCAATATCCCATCTTTTTTTCGCAGATGATTTTATACTGTTCACTGAAGCAAGCCTGCAACAAGCTGGGGTGTTACAGGGGGTTTTGGGAAAATTTTGTGACTTGTCTGGACAAACGGTAAGCATTGAAAAATCCCGACTTTTTTGCTCAAAGAATGTACACAGGGAATTGGCAGAACAAATCAGCGATAGAACAGGAGTGGGCTTAACCGCTAATCTAGGTAAATACCTTGGAATGCCGCTACTACACGCTAAAGTAAACCGGAGTACATATGGTGAAATTTTGGAAAAGGTTCATACGAGGCTGCAGGGTTGGAAGAGCAGGTGCCTCTCCTATGCAGGCCGCACTCTCTTGGTGAAGTCGGTTATATCGTCCATACCGATATACGCTATGCAAACTTCTTTGTTACCGGCTACAGTTATTGCAGACATTGAGAAATGGATTAGGAATTTCATCTGGGGAGACAGCGAGAAAAGGAGAATGCATCTGATTAATTGGAATACTCTTACGCAGCCCAAGAATAGAGGGGGGCTGGGAGTTCGAAAGTTGAAGAGTGTTAATAGAGTAATGCTTGCAAAAACTTGTTGGAGATTTTTAAATCAACCAGATGCTATATGGGCTCAGGTATTGAGGGGAAAGTACGGTGTCTGCAGCGGAAAAGAGCTCCCGCTCAAAGGTAGAAGTGTACAATCACATACTTGGCGGAGCCTATTGGAAGGGGCTAAATTGTTACACAAAGGACTCAAATGGAGGCTAGGGAATGGTAAGAGGATACACTTCTGGCTGGATTGTTGGATAACTCAAGAGCCTTTAGTCAAGCACATTTTGACTGAGCTTCCGCAAGGCGAGGTCCAGAAGGTTGTGAGTGATTACTGGACGAGAACAGGATGGGACTGGAACTCCCTTAGGACCTATCTGCAGCAGGACCAATTGGAAGCCATACAAGCAGTTCAAGTTTATGGAGGTGTTGGGAATGAGGATAGATTATCATGGGGTCTGACAGCGAATGGAAACTTTACAACGGCATCTGCTTATGAGTTAGATAGGGGACAGGATGCTAGTGACCAAATGGATACTAATTGGGATAAGTTGTGGAAATTGAAGGGGCCTAGTAGATGGCAATTTTTCCTTTGGGTTGCGAGACATAAAAAACTCCTTACCAACTCAGAGAAACAAGCCAGGCATATGCATGCCACTGGGCTCTGTGATTTATGCAAATCGAGACGGGAGACTACTCTCCACGCGCTAAGGGACTGTCAATGGATTAGTGGCGTCTGGAGGAAGCTAGTCCATCCTCTGCAGTGGCAAACTTTTAATAGTAAATCTCTAACCCAGTGGGTTGATTGGAATATTGGGCAAACAGACATTGGAAGGATGAAGGAATTGTACTGGCCTATGTTATTCCAGCAAGTGGTTTACTGGGCGTGGTCTGCACGAAATGAAGTTACGCATCAGGGTGTGTGGAGCAAGGTCAGAGTTCGGCCTGAGACTCTTTTACAGCAATCACTGTTAGTACAAGAGCTACATGCTGGCCGCAAATTGATGGGCGGACGACAAATGCAGTTCATCAGCTGGAGGAAACCGCCACTGGGTTGGGTTAAACTCAATGTTGATGGCGCATCCACGAGAAACCCAGGTGAATCAAGTGCGGAGGTCTCATAAGGAATGAGCAAGGATGTTGGCTTCTGGGATTTAGTGCAAATGTGGGGCGTGCAAGTAATGTAGCAGCTGAGCTTTGGGTGATTCTGTTGGGTCTGAGACTAGTGTGGGAGCACGGGTATAGGAGGGTGGTTATTGAGTCAGACGCGCAGGTAGCATTGACATTGATTAAAAATGCATCTGATGAGAGTCCATATTGGAACATGGTTGCGGGAATCCAAGAGTTGCTAGGCTATGATTGGGAATGCTATTTGGAACACTCGTGGCGTGAAGGAAACTGTTGTGCAGATTACTTAGCCAAGCTAGGAAAGGGTTTACCGCCGGGGATGACTATTTTCCAGGAGCCCCCACAAGCTTTACGAACACTTCTGGGCCGTGATGTTTGTGGAGTGGCAATTCCTCGTCTAGTTAAATTATAACGGGCT